GGTGAAACGGTGGAAGGAAACCCTTTGTCCAGGGGTGGACACACACACACACTGTCTCTCTCACTCCCTCAATCATTCTCTCAATCACTCCCTGCTTATTCTTTCACATCGGTGTCTCTTTCACTCACCTTTATCGTCCAGTATTTTTCCGTCCTCTTTTCTTCTCAATCTCGACTTCTCGTTGCTAGTTCTTACAAGCTTAACATGTGGGGCTGTCCGGTCCTTGAATATTTTGTAGTTTTTAATGTTCTGTCGTTCTCAGGACCTTTGCTTCGAAGGGCAATTTGATCGTGGCCTTCGGGCACCCGGAGTTGGTCGCGTGAGCCTTCGAAATGGTGCGCCCAAGAGCCACTGCACTTTGGGCGCAAATGCGCAATGGATTTATGATAAGATAAAGCGTGACTTCAACGAAAAAATTTTCCCCAAATTGAAACTGAACCACGCAAATGCAGGGACAATGTACTACGCGCAAACATTTTGGAGTATTTGGATACAGATCCGACATATATAAACGGACGCAAACAGCAAAGTGTCGCGTACCCTTCTTCGAACTGAGAAGGAGCAATCACCTCTTGGCTGATGTCCAGCGAACGCACTAGTCATCATCAAAGGAACTGTTGTTTCATGTTATTGCGAAGACAATGAGTTTATTCCCACCTGAAAGCATTCGCTCCATCCCTTGATCGCTACAAACTTTCTGGGCACTTAAAGATGAGTGGGCCTCGAGTGAAGACTCAGCTTTCATCTTAGATCTGACAATTGCACAACAGACAGGGCAAGAGGAAGCTACTCAGCCTATAAATAATCAAGCCACGTTAGCTGAGAGGAGAAAAAAACACGCGGCCGGCCATTTTGCGCAGAACAAAATTCAGCGAAAGGAGCTGATTCCATCAAGTTTCTCACAATTTCTGGCAGCAAACGCTTTAGAGTATTTGCGCATGTGTCCGTAAAATCGTTCCAAGACAGTTAGTGGAGTGCACGTTGGTTTTCAACATGTTCTGTTTTAGGGTTAGCCACTTCAAGAACGGTTCTGGTTTCTTGGAGTTTGAAAATGAAGTGACCTGCGCGATGGGATTTCATACTGAATGGTAGTTTCCACAGTTGTCTCGATTAGGTGAAGTTGACTTGGCGCAAAAACGTTGCATTGCTTCAATTCATGAGAGTTTGAGGTTAGAAAGCAGCTGCTTTCAAACTCAAAAAGCTATGCAGGTGTGGTCTACGAAGGTGAATTTTTGGATGGTAGGCGCAATCCGAGCGCCAAGCTGATTTCCGTTGAGAAAAGTCAGAAAGGAAATTTATAATCGGGCTGCCACCCGTTGCTGCCGACCCGTGAGAGGATGGCGCAGGTACTGTGTCCTGTCAGACCCACAAAAAATTGCAGAGGCCAGGCGACATGATTCCTACAGCAGGCCGGGCGACGTTACCTTTGGAATCAGCTAAAGGAATGAGACAATCCCTATCCCATGTATACCTGGCCATCTCACACAAACCCTTCGAAACGGACTACACCATGTATTTCCAGGCGAAAAACGGGAAAACCGACCACGCGCATAAAGCTTTCCAAGCGAATAACGGCGAACATCGAGTACCTAGAGCCGGCCGGGCAGGGCTCAAAACGTAAGGATCACCATTGACATTTCCTCTATGAAATGGGTGGCCGCGAGGCCCGTATAATTTTTTGTAATATAGAGAAATGATGAGACATGCAATTTGTTTCCAGACAAAAAACAAAACAATCCAACCGCGTAGAGTTTTCCAAGCGAAGAATTACAAACAAAGATCAACCAGCTAAAACCCTATGGATCGACCACCTAAAACCTTATGGAATCCACGCAACGCTTGTTCTCTGGCGTCTCCCCCGGTCCAAACCTGGGTCGGCGGACACAACCAGACATTTATACAAGCACCTGTTCCTTTTCAGGCATGTTGAGGAAATTTGATGTTGCTTGATTCACTTGTTAACTTGTTCGTTCCGTGCCTCACAGGCGGCATGGACATGGGACCACAGAGATCCCTGAAGCACTGCAGCAGCGCCTGGGCTTGGTCCCTTAGACAGGCGAAAGACTGAAATCACAGCGAAAACACAGTCAGCGACAGGCGGGAACAAGGCATTTGAAAGGCTCTAGAAAGACGTATATAAAGGAATTCAACTTGAAGTGTGAAGTAAGAAGCGAAGAGAAGGACGATTCTAAAGCCACCAGATAGCGAAGCTATGGTGTTCTTACTTCAAATATCAATGAGTTGCCCGCGCGCGCTTTCGAGGCAGGTTGCTGGTGCCGGGTGGCGGTGCTGGCGTTGGTGCTGTGAGCTGGCTGTGCACGTGGTGGAGACAGGTTGCTGGCGCTGGTGCCGGGTGCCGGTGCCGGTGCTGTGAGCTGGTTGCGCGCGTGGTGGAGACAGGTTGCCGGCGGGCGCTGGTGCTGGGTGCCGGGTGCCGGTGCTGGTGCTGGTGGTGGTGGAGACAGGTTGCTGGTACCCGTGCGCATACGTTTGCGCGCGTAAACTTATATGCGCAAGATCATACAGCCTTATCGTTCTGCAGATCGTTGCTTCAAGCATGCTACAAAGTCAATAGTGGTGCTGGTACTGCTTGGCCTTGGGCCAATGACTCTTACGGGCTTTGCTGTTTGCGCGCATACTTTTGCGCGCATAAACTTATACGCGCTAGATCATGTTATTCCCCAAATAGGGATGGCTATGGGGTTCTTGCTGCAAATAAGAATGAGCTGGCTGCGCGCGCTTTCGAGGTGCTATTGTTGTGGTCCTGGGCGCTGGCGCTGTGAGCTGGCTGAGCGCGCGTTTAATTTAAGACGGGGGGCTGGTCGGGCGCTGGCGCTGCCGGTGTTGTCAGCTGGCAAAGCGCAGCGGTGCTGGTGTCAACTGGCAAAGCGCACTGGTGCTGGTGTCAGCTGATTGCGCGCGCTGTGGAGGTGCCGTAAGCTGGCTGCGCAGGCTGCGTGCATTTTTGTTCCAGCCAGTCGCATGTCAACAGGTCGTGGGATTCTGCCTGGCTATCTGGGTCTATGCTGGTGTAATTCTTACAGGTCTTGATCAAATTGCAGCAGGCGCAAGAAGGCTGTAAGTCAGCCTGTCCGCATGCAAAAACAACATGATACAACATTTAAGAAAGACGGAAAAGCGGACACGGACATGTCAAACGTCGCTTCTGAAATCGATTGTAGAAACAATTGCGCCGGCCTTGGCTTGTAGAAACAATTGCGCCCCCCACCTGTGGCTACGAGCACACAGCCAGAGGTGATCAATAGAGCGTTGAGGATCCTTGCCATTCACGAGATGTTGTACACGGTGTTTGCAGCCATTTGCGTACTTCTTGGTGCGTGCGCTTGATGCGCAGCGTTGTAGCATGTTAAGTGTCTTGAAGTCACTGCAGCGCAGCGCAGTCCAGCTGAGCTCTAGTCTTTTGGGCACGTTTCCTCTCAAACACGGCGCGCGGTTGCAACAAGGTTGCTTCTCACAACTCGCTCAAAGAATTTCTCTACCCATGTTATGTTCTTCTGTTTGTTCTGTTTTGCCTGGTCTATACTACTACTATACTGTGTGTGTCACCCGCCATTTCCAGGAGGGTTCCCTTCCACCTTTCATTTTTGCACAAAGCCGGGGCGTCCGGCTCGATACACCTACCTGACGCAATGAAGCTACGGTGTATCGAGGGGTGGACTGATCGTCCACCTGTACCTGCACTTTTTCCAACACTCCAATCTCCACCGCTGTTTTTTGCTGTCATTGTTCTCACGATAGACCCCCAAAACCTTTTTCCACCGCTTTTCCAGTTGCTGGTCACCGCGGCCTTCTGCAGACACGCGCAAAAAGTGTTTTCAAACACCTTCAAACGCGCAGACTTTTCGCCGTGCTGTTCCACCATCCCTTTCTCTGTGGATTCTGATAGTGGATGAAACCTTATCTAAGTGTGACCCGCTGTGCTTTCCCACCTGGGTGCGCAGTGTGATCCTCTCGCAAGAGACTGACTCACCGTCCTTTCACCGTGGATTCTGGCTTGATTTAATTCTTTTCATCCATGAATCCCCCGACACCCATGCGGCCGCGCTTACGGGAATTTATGCTGCCGAGCTCACGGTCTACACACACGTGTACATACATGTTCTCTCTCCCCCCCTGCTTTCTCTCTTGCGCTTTCTTCGTTTTTTAGGTGTTCCATCAGGCTCGTTAGGTTGTTCTTGAGGCGCGTTTCCATGCCCCACGGATTTCGTTTCTTTCTCTCTTGCCTGTTCGTTTGTCTTTCTAGGTTTGCCTTTTTGCTGAAGGCTTTTTAGGTTTGAGGTGTTTTTCCTTTTACTCAAGGGCTAAGTATTCAAGCGCTAAGTAATCACCTTTTTTTGCTACTCCTATCTTTCTCTCTTGCCCTTTTTCGTTTTCCTCTTTCTGTCTTTGCTTTCTTTTTTTCTAAGGCTCGTTAGGTGGCTAATCAGGTTTTGACCCCGTAGTTTGCCGCCCGCGCGGCAGACATGCACGCCTCTACACCTATCATTTTCTCTTGCCTCTTCGTTTCTCTCGTTCTTTCCCGTTTTCATTTTTCTAGGGCTTGTTAGGTGACTCAGGTTTTGAAGCGCAAAATAGGACGCTCCGTTCTCACACGAGTGCGCCGATGATCGGCCAGTTGTGTGGCCACCCTCCTTTTCCAGGAGGATTCCCTTCCACCTTTCATTTTTCCACAAAGCAGAGGCGCCAGGCCTGACGCAATGAAGCTATGGTGTATCGAGGGAGGGGTGGACTGATCATCCACCTGTACGTGCGCTTTTACAACACTCCAATCTCCACCGCTGTTTTTTGCTGTCACGGTTGTTCTCACGATAGACCCCCAAGACCTTTTTCCACCGCTTTTCCAGTTGCTGGTCACCGCGGCCTTCTGCAGACACGCGCAAAAAGTGTTTTCAAACACCTTCAAACGCGCAGACTTTTCGCCGTGCTGTTCCACCATCCCTTTCTCTGTGGATTCTGATAGTGGATGAAACCTTATCTAAGTGTGACCCGCTGTGCTTTCCCACCTGGGTGCGCAGTGTGATCCTCTCGCAAGAGAGGCGCTGAAGCCATTG